GATTAAAGACATTATTATGTGCTTTTTGGAATCTTTAAGGACACTTCTGCCAAACCAAGAATATAAAGATGTTTTATAATTGCAATCAAAAATACCGAAAGGAAAGGATTCTTCAGGATAATAAAGAAGAAAGGAGAATCTATTCACTGAGCATGCCTATACATAACAATGTTAATATGCACCTTATACAGTAAAATAAATAAATATATAATCTATAAAACTTCAAGATATTAGGTTAGCCGAGTCTTAAAAAAAGACAAAGACAAAGACAAAACACCACATGCTACAGTTTAATATCATGAATAACCAAAATCAATCATAATGACCAGCACATGCAGATTGTATGAACAAAATTCTGGCCCCCATGCACAGCAGATACATTCAATATTTACATTTGTGTCTCATAAGTAGTCTACTTGTATATTACACTAAACTTTGGATATATACTTATATTAATACTAAAACTAAAATGTACATGATTCTTTAATCAGTTTCAAATATAATGCCACTTCTAATGATCTACAAAATCAGGATTATGGTAATGATATGTATATTCAATAGAAAGCTTAAATAAAAACTAAAATAAATGAAATCTAATAGCAGATATATGTTCTAAATAATAATAAAATTATATATCTCATATGTTTTCCTATGACATCTGACACTATTACATACAACACTCCACTTTAGAACTGTAAGTGAATATCTTCTATTTTGTTTACTTTAATAAACTGATAGGGCAGATAGACCTATGTCATATTTGAATCTTCAAGAATTGTAAAAGACAAAGAATACTTAGCAAATTCATTTAATGAAATTAGAAATAATCAAACAACAACTTTTATATAACAATCAGTGCTAAAATTACAATACAAAGTAGAGCATAGGTAACTGCTCTGAAAAGCTGCATCTCTGATACTAATGAATCTGGTACTATTGGACTGCATATATCTACTGTCCTGGGAACCCACTAGCCAGATAGCAAAATTAGACCAGGGAGACTAATAAAAGTAAATTGTAAAAATAACCAGTACTCATGTACAATCACTGAGGGTCCCCTACAACTCTCCTTCAAGATGGTTATAAAGAGGTTTCATGTGAGCCTGTAATTAAAGTAGTATAACTTCAGGGTTGGTCTTGTCTCAGTGTCTATTGACACTTAAACTTCTTTTATTCTGGCAAGATATAACTTGGATCATGCTGCATTTAACTGAACACTACAGCTTTATGGCAGCTATAGTAAAGTTACTTCTTTTTTCCTAGATAGGAGGAGCACAGGAGCAGTATCCCAACCTAATCCCTCCGGTTCCAGTCATCTCTTCTAAACCAACCAGTTCCTATATTAGTAGAAGACCTATAACTTCCACAATCTCTATTGCTTCATAGATGAAGAAGAATGACAAATATAATTTGCCTTGCAAGAGCAACTGTCATCCCTAGAAAAATTATCTGAACAAGATGCACTGGGAACTTCTATGCTTCCAGAATTACTAGCTGAAATTAGAGCAAAGGGCAAATGTTTACAATAGGACTGCACCCGTCAGAGACGAAGTCCCCAATTCCCACCAACAATGTTGGAGGATCCCGTGGCGAATTGGGAGTTGGAGAGGAGTGATTTTATTCGTACCATGCATTTTAAAAAACAAAAGAACGTGGGAAATTGAAAATCCAAGCCAAGAATAGGATTTCATATGATAAAGAAAGATTCGGCCATGGATGATTCCACATGGCGATGTGTCAACTAACGAGCGAGTGAAGAGCATCTTAGATGCACAAACTACCAGAAGGGTCGCCGTATGAACCAAAAACCTAAGTCCTAACCTAGGGGCTATACCCTCTGACCCCCTCTCGATTGCTGTATTTCCCTACCAGGGGCCCGACCCCTGATCCCCTTACCAATTGTCATCTTTCTCTAACCAGGGGCTCTGCCCCTGGGCCCCCTCCCGATTGTCTAATTTCCCTACTGGGGCCTCTAGATCACCACCGAATACATTTAGAGATACAAACTAAATTTACCTTAAGGTCGCGGGGACAGTGGTTGGGAAATGACGAACCACTGACGAAATTCTACAGATGGAACACTGTTATTGTATTTCACTGAGTTTAGTTTTATCCCTGATAGTTAACGATTTCAGTGAGATTGATTTCACCACAAAGTTAGAAAAAAAAAATTAAAAAAGGAAACAAAAGTAGCACTGTAAACAAACTTCACCTTCAGAACAAACAAGATCTCTGATAACAGAACTGTCAAATTTACCGGGAGAGGGCAACAATGTGCAAATTTGGATGTACCATGTAATTCTAATGAAACTATGGTATGTATATAATAAAATCAATCACATTGTGTATTTAAGGAATGAACATTTAATAAATGCATATTTCATTAAAATTTCATATAAATTAGCATACAGAAATACATTATACTACAGTGCACTCTAAGAAATTTGCCGTGACATCACGAGCTACATGTGCCAAGACAGTTTATGTTGGGTTCCCGCGCAGCTAAGTTATTCACTGCGATGTGAGGAGGGCTGGACTTCGTTTCTTGAGGTGCGTGGGACTTAGTCTCTGTGCAGCATTTTGCATCCCACATTTTCATTGTTTAACTCAAATAGGTTCGATTCTGCAAATCAAATTTCTCCTAGTCACTGCAGTCCTTTTGTATACCTTAACCAATCTCAGTAAACAGAGTATATGGAAATCTATGAATACTGTACAAAACCATTATAAAGCGGCAGAATTCTAAAAGAGAATGTAGCAGGGGGAAGAAGGAGGCCTACAGGAAAAGACTTCAATTGCAAAATAACCTTACCCAGGAAAGAAAAGGAGAGCAGGTCCATGTGTTACTGGATGACACTATATGAGTTCTATCTTGCCATAAAAGATTAGGTTTTTTAGGCATTTGCTAAGGCACTGTCAGGCATAGAGGCTGTAACTATCACTTGATGCTAAACATTTTAATTACTGTCATTATTTAAACTATAATTGTTTCAACAGCTAAAAGTACAACATCTACAAAATAAAAATCATAGCCAGAACATCTGGCCCAGATTATTAGTACAGTATTGTGCAAATTCTTCGAAAAACTACCCAAAAGAGTTAGTTACTATGAGCAAAAAAGTTTTTATCTGGTACTGTATAATAGTGGTACCAGATTTTGGGGAAATAATGTGTTTTCTGAATATTTTCATATGTTTCAAGAGATTACATACATTAACAGTTGTGCAAACCACCCATTATTATATGTTACTGCTCTCTCTCTGTTCTAATAATTTTAGGGGACATGTTAGCAACTGAATGAGTTGCAGGGGGAATAATTGAATATTGTTGGAAAATTGTATACAAAAAACCCCAGAGAAGTCTTTGAAAGTAAAAATCAAAGGGTCCATAATTCAAAGTCTACATAAATTTGTCAGCAATTTAAAGACTGGAATTTAAAATCTGATTCTGCATTTATTTACTGAAGCATGAAATGCACTGTTTAAACCTGTAACCTAACTTAGCCCCTAACCAGGGAGCACTGCCCCCAGTGGCTACAATGAATTTGCCCTATTTTGCCCAACCCCTATCCAGGGTGCTCTTACTATCTAGCCTATATGTCTATAAATTACTGCAGGGAAAGTAAAGCTCTTGCTTAAAAGAAGCTACATATGTGATCAAGTGGTGGTTGGAGGGTGCACACCAGATAGTAAGCAAAATACTGCTCATACTCCTCTCTACAAGTATTCTGTTCCTAAGCTATATTTTGTGTGTAAGTCTTATGAGTTCACAAAATCTTATTGTACTCCGCAAATACCTGTACTTGGACAGGTGTAAATATGACTCTCATCTCATAATTATTATTATTAGGGTAATTCATTTTCTTATTATTAGAAGCAAATTTGCAGCAGACCTTTCCAACACCTATATGACAAGCCACTTTTTACTGATCCTTTCTATTCCACATAAGCTCTATTGCCTCACTTTTCCCTTGCCATATTTCCTTAAGCTAAATATGCTTTAATCTCTATCTACAGACACCCTTCCCTCCACTATCACACACTATTTTCTATGCTTCATACCATTCTTTTTGGCCTTCAACTAGCTTCCCTATTATATTTAGCAGGGTTGCAAAGACTGAAAACTTTACTTCTATTGCTTTTTCATGCACCCATAACACACATATATTACATGTGTGAGATCTAGATACCCTTTTTTTCCAAAAGGTATTAAGCAGAAAAACAGAAAACAAATACTAAGATCATGAATATTTCCATATAAATAGCAAGGATTGGTTCTTCTTTGAAAGGCAACTTTAACAATGTGCATTTATCTATATTGCAACTTGGTAACTTAGCACATACAGTAAATAGACATGTGAATACACTGTTATTTATTATACGTAATGGGGAGCAATGTTCCATGGGCAATGAAACATTGGATACATGCAATGATTCTTTATTTGCACAAGAAATTGCAATGAACAACTGAGAACTGCTTGTTTTATACTATAGTAATAAAAATTATTTGAAATTTGAATGCCACCATTAAAATGTACCTCTCCTTGTTACAAAGCAATAAATGACAAATCTTCTAGGCCTACCCTCCCCTAGAAGTATACCATAACAAACCATGACACTCAACCTCTTTGTAATCAGTAATCACACTAACCAGTCCTTCATCTCTTTAAACTCCATCCTACAAAGTAACTACGACAGACAACATGGAAACAAGTAAATGCCATACAGTTACTGCTGTTGCTACTGTCCATTGCATCAGCTTTAATAGTGGTAACAAGGACGACCAAATTGGCTACTGCATCACGTTGAAACAATGGATAAATACTAAACACGGGTCGTTGTAGACGTTTCACAAATAAAATGTGATGATATAATTGAAATATATTGAAAATCAATCAATCCATACCGGTTACAAACGACATACTGATGTCTTGAAGCAACAATCACAAACGAATAATGTCAAGGAGGACGCAATAAATAAACCGAAGGATGGGGCTGAAAAGTCAAAACAAAAAGTAGTTGCGGGGCCAAAGAATGTAACACTAATGCAGAGATTTATTACGAAGTAGAGTATTTCTGTCCAAATAAAATCCAAATTTTATTATTACATAATAACTGTAGTTATCTGCATACATTACCATTTTGGTTATTTAATATAGATTATCTCCGCGACCTATAATATTTTGGTCAGGGTTATGATACACATAATAGCTGCCAAATTGCTCTATATATGTATTCTTTTAATTTTATTTAGAATATGAAGAGACAAAACATAGACAAATACTATATAAAAATAATTCATACTATAAAGATTAAATGAAAATGACCAACTTTATATGATGAGTTTCTTCTTATCAGACGGAAAACAGAGGAGAGTGTGGGAGTCACAGACTTCAGCACCGTTGCAGAGTATAATAAATAACAACTTATAAATGCATGTTAACTATTTATAGATACTTACAGACTTAAAATTTTTCATCATGGCTTGCGTTGATGACCTCCCTGAAGAAATACTGGAGTATATATTGTGTCTTATATCACCTTACAACGATTTAAGAAATTGTAGACAGGTGAGTTGTTTCTATAACATTGTATTTTTCTCAGTATTGTTTCCTCAGTTTTATATTTACGGATATTTTGGTGTTACAGATATTATTCCGATGTTCTTTAAGTGAAGTGATTTTGGTAAAGTGATATTCTTAGCAAACGCTCTGGATCTAGACTAGTTATGTGGAACTTTATCTTTAGCCATGCTGGAATTGGAGGGGTTTCTGCTATATATCCATAGTTGATAGGCTTTCGGTTTTCTGTGTGCTGGCATTCACAAAACCTGAAATTCCCCACATTATCATGTGCTTGCGTATGGTATTTTCTTGTTAGATTACACTGGGAATGTGTTTAATGGCCTTTGCTGCAGCATCATTTGACTGGTGTACGAAATTCAGTGCAATTATCCATGACTTAAAGATACCCAGTGGTCATATATGATGGACTGTTATACCTCAATTCCAGTGCCTCGACTCCAGGCACATGTGTGGACAACATTTGCTATTTAGAATTGGAAATTATGTAGGCAATTTTTTCACAAAGCTGTCCAAATTTGTTATTTCTACTCACAATTATATAAGTGAAAGTATTGGTGATTGTTTGGGAAATGACTCCTTAGAGACCAGATCCAGCTTTTCTGGCAGTTACAGTCTGTGTGTCACCTCTCACATGACAGGAATTGAGAAAGAGGTAAGTTATTGAGTTGCTAGATGCATTCTTCCTACCTTGGTTATTTTCATGCACATTTGTATGTATGTTGAGTATCTAAAACACAGAATAACCCACCTTAGAATATCAAAAGCCATCCAGGATATTATATTCCAGATAACTGTGTACCAGTCAAAAACATAACCAATACAGTAAAGCAGCTAGCCACCAGCCGCAGCCATTCCCATTATGTCACAGATGTGGGGGGATCTTTGTTGTATGTCTGGCACAAGTCACTACCACACTGGCCATTCCTCCTGGGAAATCCACATACATTGTCATGTGAACCAAAAACCTTCTAAGCTGTGGGTTTCACCCCCCAGATCGCCACCCAATCACTACATTTACCTATTGGTGACTCCACCCTGCACCCCCACATGAACATCAATGAGTATAGTTCCCTCACCCCTCTTTACAGAAGTGTCATTAGATTTTCCCTATTTTAGTGCAGTCCTTGTATTAATGATACAAAAAATTACTTATATGGTACACAGATCTCCTATTATCAACTTGGGAAGGAAATACCATAGATGAAAAGTGTCATATTTTGTTGTTCCATTCATCATAAGCAAAGTTTACCTTGTACCATATGGCAATGTGAAACTGAAGCTATATGGATACAAAGTAGGCAGATGTTGAATGTAGTACACCTTTTCACATAACAGATCAGACATTTCCCTGCAAATTTCTAACAAGCCACATAGTGTTTGGACTATTAGTTTTGTCCTTTGACATTTCTCCATGTCTAATTGACACTAACAGAAATGTCCAACAGTGTAAGAAAATAGTTTTGGCAAGTGGCTTAGTCACATTTTGATTGACGAAGTACAAATATACTTTTACAATGATAATGAGAAACTGGATGGTTTCAAACGATTATTTGACAGTTAACAAAATAATATATATGTACGCTGGCAATGTATGTATGTATCGTACAATTCTGCCCCCATCTCTTACTTGTTTTTGGACCTCAGAACTTGTCTCAACTAATTTTGCATGGTCTTTTCTTCTCCCTCTTTCCTTTTCCTTTTCTTCTTCATCCCTTCTTCCGTCCACTTCTTAAGGTGTGAGAGCTGTGCTGAAAGGATGAAAGGCTTTTTTTGTATTAGTCATGAATGGTTTCCAGGAACCATGGGCATGGTATTCTCTTAGTTAATTGCCTAGCCTTTACCCCTTTTGGGGACCTTTCTTTTTCCACTTATATCAGGCTCACCATGGCCAATAATGAAGATTCTTTATCCATATTAGGGGTATTACCCCATGGACCTGGATAACGTTGCGGTCATGTCAAGGAAAAACTTGAGCAGCTGCCCGGGTGACATGAACATGTTGTGAACCAGGCAAATTGGCTGCGGCCTGGGAGACACAAATGGCCATCATGAGCGAAGGCCAGAATGACGGAAAAGACTCACCATGAGTGCACAAACCTCTTGGAGTGTGATTTGACATTTGGTGCTTAGCAGGGGGCTTTAGCAGTATTCCCATTGATAAATGAATATGGAATGTAACGTGCATAAGCAGTGACTGGAAGAGCACCGGCTCTAGGGAAGACGCCATTTACATGCTGTGCACTGTATTCCTGGCTGCTGTGGCTGGCGGTGCAGGCTGTATTACGTCAAATTGAAACTTACGAAAAAATTAGATATATGACACAAATAACCAAAGGGTTAAGGCTTGCCCCTTCATCAATTAGTCTATCTAAATTTGATTTCACTGGATTCCCAAACCCTGCCTCTCATTTGACCTTGGTTTTGACCACAAATACTAATACTCCCTCCTTATTCTTTATTGACAACTCTATCAATTCTTAACCACCCACCAAAGTCATTATTTAACCTTCAGAATGCACCCCTTCTTCTCTCAACAGTCTTCACTCCATCTCCTACTGCACAGTCTTCTTCATTGTCTGCTTCCTCCCTTCTTATTATCTCACTGTATTACCTCACTCCACACCAGCCCATCTTCTTCCCACCTTTCTCCTTCTACTGCTGCCATCTCTGTAAACTTTTTGAATACTCTCTTTGGCCCAGCCAAGTGGGATCATTTCTCTGTGATTCCAGCCCCTAACTCTGACAATACCCTTCTCTTCCAAAAATGCCTCCAAGAACAAGTAGACAAAGTTTCCTTTCAGAGTTGCTCCAATTATCCATGCCTTGTCACAGTTACATCTGAGTCTCAAGCTCATACACTATCAACCCTGACTGACCTCACTGGCAAACCTGTTCCTTCTACATTCAGAGTATTTGTCAATATCCATCCTCCTCCCCTTCAAGTTTCCCTTAACCCACGAACGATGGGTGTCCCACATATGAGACACCAAAAGAAATAAACATTGCCGGGCATCCCGCCAGTGTGACGCCCCGCACGCCGATTTTGTAGCCGCCCGGAATCTTTTATTTTCGGCTTCAAAATAAACTGGCGTTAAGGGGTTAAGGATAATGGGGAATGAAGAGGGAATGGTGCACATAGAAAAGAGAATGGGGTGTGTTGGGATAGAGTGGGAGGAAGAGGGGTAGGGGGAACTTGAGGGGGAGGATTCTTCTCCTACTACTTCTCCAATAGCCATTTCTACCCATACTACCTGTTGATTATCTCATAATAGCTCTCTGGCCAGTTTTCCTTAAACAATGTTCCTATTGCTTCCCCAGCCACAGATACACTCCATTTGCTTCCTCTCTTTACCCTTGTCCCTATCATACTATCCTATAAAACTCTTTAACCCTTGACATCTAACACATTTTATCCTAATTGTTAACTCCTTTTTACCCTTTTCACAGCAATATTTTACCATAGTGCTATATGACCTTTGATGTGTTGCACATTTATTTGTTTCAACCTTTAAACATTTCATTGGATTCCCGACCCCTTCCTTTCCTTTGACTATGGTTTTGACCATTGATACTAATACTTTCTCCTCGCTTACTGACAACTCTATCCTTTCTGAACCACCCACCCAAGTCATCACAACTTTCTGAATGCACCCCTTCCTGTCTCTCAACATTCTCCACTCTATCTCCTACAGCACTGTCTTTTTCATTGTCTACCCTCTCCCCCCTTATTACTACTCTTCAACCTTACTGTCCTCCCCCCCACAGTACTACTTAACTCAGCACCACCATCTTCCTCCAGCCCTTGTCTTTCTCCTGCATCCACCTCTGCAAACCTTTTGAGTACTCACTTTGGCCCAACCAAGTGGGATCAATTTTTTGGTATTCCCCTTACAGCCTCTTATTTTGACAATACCCTTCTTTTCCAACAATGTCTCAAAAAACAAGTAGGCAGAATTGCCATTTGCAGTGGTTCTGAACTTTAACTCCTTGTCACAGTTAGGCCTACATCTGAATCCCAAGCTCATGCACAATCAAACCTGACTGATCTCACTGTCAAACCATTTCTGCCGAACCTCACTCCTCTCTTAATACTTATACTGGAACTGTTTCGGTCTCCCTGAGTGATTGATCTATCTATGACAAAAACTGGTCAGACTGTGTAAATGACCTACTTGCCTGCCTTAATTATGATGCAGTGGCAGTACAGTGCTACACTCTTCCTCCCAGAGGGCCAGCAATGTAAGTCCCACACCATTATTGCAAAGATCAGCTTTTGCAGACATTACCTCCCCAAGAAGTGTATATTGGTAGTGTCCTGCCCTGTCCGACCATATCAGCCCCTTCTTCATCAGTGTCAAATGTTGGCGTTTTGGTCACCCAACCAAACACTGTCATCCACAGCCTTCTGCCCTCTAT